CTTCCATTCAGTCTTTATTCGAATCAGTAGGCCTACGATGCGTACCTCTCTCTTACTCTCTCCTGATTATGGATTCATTCCCTGGCACCTTGTCATTGCTCGTAAGAAACAGTATCCAAAATCTCACTGAGAGCATTGTTGCTTGTTCACATCACTGCAGGCGATTCCCTCCCTAATTTAGTGAGTTGTCTCGATGGAAGGTTCTTCAATGGTAGGCAAACACGTGAAAGTTTCATCAGAATCCATGAATGATGAGTGTAAGTAATCCTGCAAGGGAGAGGCGCCTAGGGTTCCGTGACTCCCCCAAATTTTTCCTTCAGAGATCTCTCCGTACACTGCCATAGGCTCCCAGAAACGGGTTAGTTTCTTCGACATCACTTGAAAAAACCGGTCCCCTAAAGCGACGTGGCGGCTGTTCTAGCCTTTTTTATTACACACCACTGTGATAAACAGCAGACGGGGCGTACCTCATAGTCACGAAGACCTGCTGTTCAGTGATGGTAACGGTATCCTAAGCCCCGGGATTTGGAGTTACAAACCACATAAGGCCCCGCCAGGTCGGGCCTGGTTGAGGACCGGACGATAACAAAGCTGCCTACCACCAAAGTTGGGTAACTTTGACGGGGCTCGAACCTCGGGTCATAGGGCTCAAAGCACGTCAGCGACAGCGACTTTGGTTCAGTTCCCCCAAAATATAACGGCATTCAGCAGCCCCAACTTCTTTCTAATCATGGATGATGCTAACAGAGGTACAACATACGGCCTGAATGAAGAGCAAACGGAGTAACCCACAATCACGAGAGCCAGCTGTTTAGTGGCGTAAAACAAAATCCTGATCCTCGTGACTTGGAGTGCCGAGCCACAAGAGTCCCCGCTAGCCCAGGTCTGCTGTTGAAGCGGACGACAGCAAAGCTGCCTACCATAAAGCTCGTGTGGCAGTGACTGTGGCGGGGTTCAAATCTCGAATCATGGTGTCCAAATAATGACGGTGACAACGACCAAACCAGCACGACCGTCCAAAAGTTCACTTGTTAGTACACATCATGCTCCTTTTTCTTTTACACTCATTTCTTTTTACTGAATTCATGATACAACTTTCAGGAAGGGGGAAACAGCCAATCCAAAAGGTCGAATAGGAACATTTCACGAGTTCTTAGGGAACTGTTTTTTCATTACACACCTAAGTGTGATGAATAGCGGACAGAGCGAACCCCATAGTCACGAGGACCTGCTGTTCAGTGGTGGAAATCGGAAACTGAACCCCAGGTCTTGAAGTGGTGAACCATATAAGGCCCCGATAGGTTAGGCGTGGTATTAAACCGGATGACAGCAGAGCTGCCTACCACTAAAGTTGGGTGGCGTTGGCAGGGCTCGAACCTCGGGTCATAGGGTCCAAAGCGTGTCGGTGACAGCGACTTTGGTTCAGTTCCCCCAAAATATAACGGCATTCAGCAGCCCCAAATTTTTTCTAATCACGAACCATTGGGTCCAAAACACGCCGGTGACAGCGACTAAACCACTGCACCATCACCACCCAACGGTGACCATTCACAACACCCACTCCGACCGTATATATATATATATATATATATATATATATATATATATATATATATAT